AGTCATACCTAACAAATGCATATATCCCAACAAATCTCCACCTTGCACGAATATCTAGCCCCTTAGGAGAAATATATCATGGAGTTTTTTATGCATCAATGTGGGTTGGGCCATTACGCTTCCGCTGCGCCTTCGCTGATCCCCCCAACCCACTAAATTCCAAGAGACACAACTCTTCAATTTCAAGAAACATCTCTTAATTCCAAGAGACTCAAAATTCTGGTCCAACCCCTTTAAGAGAAATACATATACCCAACAAATCTTCACCTTGATAAATATCTTGCCCCTTTAGGTGAAATGCATATACCCAACAAATTTCCACCTTGGCGAATATCCAACCCCTTAGGAGAAATATATTATGGAGTTTTTTATGCACCAATGTGGGTTGAGCCACAAATCTTTTAAAATAATTTCTTAATTAAGATTTTCTTAATTAAGTTTCCCAGAAAAAGGATTTTCTTAATTAAATTTTCCCATAAATTATTTTCCTTAAACTTCCAAGAAAAGCTCTACCTCCGCTTTCCAGAAAATCTCATTTTTCCTTCCATAAAGGCTCTGTTTTTCTTTTTAGAAAAGCTTTGTTTCTGCTTTCGTTCAAGAAATAAATTTTTCCTTTCCCGAGTGCTGCAGCAGATTCACTTTTCTTGTCTTTCCTGCGTTCTGTAAAATCTTCCCGTGCAGCAAGATTTTTCTGGTGAATAGGAGGAAATTTCATTTATTGCTTCTAGATAAATCTAGAAAAAATCTCTTCTAAATTTCTTCTCTACAGCAAATGAATAAAATCAGAACTTATTTCCTTCTAATTTTCTTCTTCGCCTCCCACAAAGGAATAAAATCGATACTTGATTTCTCTTCCAATTTTCTTATCCGCAATAAAATCGGAACTTAATTTCCTTCCAATTTTCTTCTGCCTCCAGCAAAAGAATGAAGTAAGAGATTCTAATTTTCACCTCCGCTCCAGGCTGACGTCGAACCTTCCTTTTCTACCTGTAGCAACTTCGCCTGGCACTGGAACCTCTAGTTGAACCGCCAAAGCTGAAGTCGCGATTCCTCTATCGCTATCACGAAAGCTACGATTCCTGCCACAATTCCTCTGTTGATTTTGCCAACGCCTTCCTGCGCGACTCCTCCGAAGCTTTGCCAAACTTCTACTGTACGCACGCGCCTGGTGTCGCACTTGAAGCCTTCGCAGAAAAACCCTCATCTTTCTACTGAACCGTCTGAAGCCCTCGTCATCTTTGAACTTCCTCTGCTTTGAAATCTGAACTTCCGCGAACCTTGCCGAAATCCTTCCCTAACCGTCAATCTCCTCTGTCAAAATCTTCTTTATTCTTGCGTCACTTAAATTTTTCTTCTCTGCCCTCAAACCTCGCTCTGCCAATTGTTGAGAAATTAGGGCGAAGAAAAACAAGAATTTACACAAATCCAGAAGAATACACAGAGATTTACGAGGTTTGACAAAGATGCCTACATCATTGGGAGTTTAGCGACGACTTTCTTTTTAATATTCAGAAAAGAGTACAAAATACAAGATTCAAAATCTCAGGGACTCAGAGGCTTACCCAGGATTACAAACATGACATATATATAACACTATAATACAATATGTAATTACTTAAATTACTCATGTACCAAACCGCAGGGTCTTGCCCCAGCACCCCCAACCCACATAATGAAACTCCCCCGATTGGACAGATTCTTCTGCTCCACTCAGCTCGTGGGCTCCGCTCTACTCCAACATCTGTCCCATTTATGGTATATGAGTTATACCTAACACTTATCTAATTAGCATGAGGGCAAATCTCTTGGCATTGGGATAGTTACATAGGTGGTCCTCATTGTGATACCTATTTTGTACGTGTATTTAATTAATAATAATTTTTTAATGCAATTTAAAACAGTCGATTTTATCATTTTATAAAAATGATAATAGTTTTTAATATTTATGGTAAAAAGCAATAGTTTATCATATTTTGCAATTAATTAGAACTAATATTGTCATAAATGTCATTTTTAAAAATTCAAAATATTATGCGTGGGCTATTAAAAATTTTGAATTACCACTAGATTTTCTAAAAATTTGTGGCACAAACTTAAATTTACTTAGAATATTAATGTTAAAGCTGTTTATCAAATTCTAACAATGATATTATGGCTTTAAGACATTCATTTGAAAATCCTAATTTGTATATCAGATCTGATTGTCAATATTTTTCAAACATGATTCATAAGTATAGTTATTTATAAAATTTTAAATTAATCATTAAAAAAAAACTAATCCTATAAAAAAAATGGACTAATGAGAATGTCATTCTCCATTTTTTTTTGGGACTGGTTTATTGTACTGACTGAGGGTCTGTTTGGGATAGCTGCAGCTTAATAATAAGTGATGTGCAGAAGCTATTGCAGATATGTTGATCGTCTGTTTGTTTTTTATAAATTGAAAACAACTATGTTGCAGTTGTTTCTTGATAAATGACCATTCTGTCCTATCTAGTATTGTTGTTTACAACAGAACTGTGATGTCATTATATTCTATTCTTTATGGAACAAAATATCTAGTGCAAAAGAGTATAAAAAAAAATATATACACATCACTTAACAGTGAGTATCATGATTAAGAAAATTAAGAAAAAAATAGTAAAATAACATTTAATAATATGATAATTTGTTCTTAAAGTACATACAACATATGTCTCGAGTTAAGCCATCCTCCAGGGATACTTTATATGCCCGATCAATCTCGGCGGTAGAATCTTCCAACCTATGTGCCTACCAAAAAAAGGAAATAGTTTTACGTGATTCTCCGCTGTCATATGCAGAACTGTCTCCTATAGCTATATGACTGATGTGAAATTAGCATACAACTCGTTACACAGTGGCCCTGCAGTCCTCAGAAGGTACCAGAAATCCTCGAGCTCATATTTTTTGAATGTTATAAAAGACATTCCATTAGACATATCACAATTGCAAATTTATGAGGGTGCGTGGTCTCATAAAACTTAGTATATTAACCAACAAATAAATGAAACGATGCCGAAGAACGAAGGGGATAGGGAGAGGAGAAGAAATGACAAATCCTTGCCACCTGAACCACAGATTGGAGAGGAGGAGAGCCAATGCTGCCTTTAGGGCATAATCATGAGAGAGGAGAGAGCAGGACACGAGAGTGAAGAGCTCACGAGAGATGGGAGAGTGGGACTATAGGAGAACCCGGGGCAGAGCAGTCAAAGTTGAAAATAAATGAAAGATGAAATGTAGGTCGCAGAATCGAACTCATAACCCGTTCTTATTATACATCACAATCGGTTTTTTCAAAATGCATACTAAAGGTCTGTTTGGTGGGAAAAATTTCTCTCTGGACTTCGGACGTAGCTTTACATGCAAACTCCAATAATATACGACAATGAGTGCTATATCGGGCCTACCTAAAAAAATATTAAAGAGAAACTGCGTAATCCGCAATAACCCTGGAATAACATTGAAATAGCCCCGAAATAACCTTTACGGTTGCACTTTATTAACCATTAAATAATCTCCCCAAAATAACACCATGGAGGTTATTTTGGGGTTATTTCTGGGTTATTGAAGATAAACACATATATTTCACTTCAATGACCCATAAATAACCCTGAAATAACATCTGCGATGCACTACACGTGACGACATATTATTGGAGTCCGCACGTAGAGCTACGTCAAGAGTCCGGACTGAATTTTTTTTTTTTTTTGGGGCAGTTGTTGTTTATCCAGCTTATCTCGATAAACAACTTAGTTTGATAAGCTGCTGATCAATAACTTATCCTGAGCGGTTGTTTAGTTTATGCGTTTGAAAAACAATTGATTTGCAGCTGTTTTTAGATAAATGAACATTCTACCTCTGATCTGAATAAACTATTTAGCTTTTTAGTATGTGCATTTAAAAAAATAATTAATTTGTAACTTTTTTCTAGATAAATGACCATTATGACACTTTGCGATATTGCTGTTTGTAAGAGAATTGTAATGACTACACATTTGATAGTTGACAAAAAAAAAACACTTCATAACAATAGAAAAAAAATGCACCTTACTTAAGAGCACCTCACTTGAGAGAAAATAAAAAAAAAACATAATAAAAAAGAAATGACATCTTCAAATTACATATAAAAGTATGATGATATTCATTTTAAAATGCAGAAGAAAGTGATTTTTGGTATCGCGACATCAAGCCAGTTAAACATTTCCCTTTTTTTTACTGCACATTCCCTTAACCAAAATTTCTCAACAAAATGATGGGATTGGATGCCACAAAGAGCAAATAGGTGCTTCCCAATAAAAAATCGTAGAAATAATTCTAAGAAAACCATAAACAAATATTTGGTATAACCACAAACTTTCTAAAGAAACCCATGAGATTGGAAACTGCAGAGGGCAACCGAGTGCAACGAAAGAAAAACCACATAATTAAACATATAGGAATAATATTGCGAGATACCAGATGAATGATAGGAAGAACCATGGGAGAAGAGAGGGAGCGCGGGAATGGAGAACCAACCTATGCAAGCGCGGTGCGACGAGGGGGAAGGGCACGAGTGATTGTTGATAAAATGTAGCTCTTCAAAGGGGGACTCGAGTTCGATCCCACGACCCTCTTCCTTCAATAAAAACAAAACAATATTTCAAAGTTTTTAAAATGCTAAAAGTAGTAACAAGCTGCCCCCAAATGCACCTAAATGCGAGCGCATTTTCTGTCCGGACACCTGACGTAGCTCTAGGTGCCCCTCAGGTTATTCCTGGGTTATTTTCAGCTTATTTCTGGGTTATTTTCAATAATCCCGAAATAACCTAAAAATAACCTGCAATCTTTATTTTTGAGTTATTTCTACATTATTTCAGGATTATTGAAAATAACCCAAAAATAATTTAAAAATAACTCAAAAATATCATTTGCTACAGCTAAAGCAATATTTAAATGCTCCTCCGGACATATCTAGAACGCGCATTGGAGAAAAGCTGCCCCAAACGGGCGGTTACTCTCCTTTGAACCAAATAAAGTTGCGCGGTTTCGTTTGTTCAAAAGAACGGCAGTCCGAGCGCAGCCCCAAGCCGCGGTGCAAATTTCTTTCTCAGAAGTTTGCCCTCCTCATTCGCCATTGAAGTTATCTTTTTCTCTCATCAAAGTGGCAAGCTACCTCCCTTCTCAACGAGACTATGTCCTCCGGCTCTCCTCAAGTTCGAATCAATCAGGCATTTCTCTGCGAAACCCTATTCATTTTTTCTTACAATCCTTCTTTCTCTTTCACATTAAAAGATTTTTTACACGAAATGTATTCCGCTTTTATACCTTTTTGTCATCTATAATTAAACAGTTCTTCGCCTCTAAGAAACGAAGTTCCGAGAAAAATCCAAAAAGCTCGTTTACCGGATCTCCCAAGGGCAGTCTAGCTGGATATTTGGTTAAATCTCCGAATGCAAACACCCACTCTACCCCCAACGACACTTCTTCGCGCACCGGCCCGGTTAAGAGGAATTTGACATTGGAGATTGGGCTGGGTTCTGTCATCGCCGAGAAACCTTTATCGTCATCTCCAGAGTTTACAGGTGTCTCAAAGACGGATGAAAGTGTTTTTAAGAATCAAACAGGAGCTCTTTCTGAAGCTTTGGTTGCCCGTGAGGTTATCAGTGCAGAAGCTCCTTCTAAGGAAGAAGTGGCGTTGGAGTCAGGTGGAGAGAATTTGGAGCTCAAAAAGTTTGCAAATGATTTCCTCTCTTTGTATTGCAGGTAATATTTATATTTGTATACATCTATGATTCATCAACGACTAACATTTCTTGTAGATTATGAGATCTTATGGCTTAAAATTGGATAAAATTATTGCAATAATTTATGTTTTTTTTTTCACAATTAACCCTAAATGCGTCTACTTTTTGTTTAATAAGTGATCTTCAATCTGCCTTACCGGAGACAAGAGAGGCTAAAGGAAGAAAACGAGATGGCAGTCTTTTGTTATCCTCCTGCAGTAAAAAGCACTGCATCATAGATAGAGTTGTTACAAGAGTTGATACACGTGAGAATGCTTCTGAGGTAATGACTACAAAGTAATTTATAAGTTAATTACATACCACATAATTCTCATGTTTTTACTATCAAACACCTGAACATTCATATTTACATGCATACCACTCAAATCATTAACATCACTTAAAATATAACACCATCACTCTCTTTTTAGTAGTGAAACACGCATTTTCTTGCATAATTTTATGACCAACTTTCTGTAAGTGTTAATATCGAACTTTGGGTGTGGTATGTAAATATATAAGAACTGTGCTTATTGACCCTTAGTAAACTTTAACATTTTAATATTTGTGCAGGTGGCAGTATCTAATGGTTGCAAAGAAATTGGTGAGGCTGATACTTTTCGTGTCAGCTTAAGAAGATGTAGTAAGTCTCCAGATCTAAAATCAGTAAAGTACGGGTTTAATGCGCTTGTTTCATCTGTTGAAACCCCTAAATCTGTCTCTAGAAGTTCCAAGTTCTCACCAGGGGAAGAATTTTGGAATGAAGCAATTCAAGTTGCTGATGGTTTAATTATTCCATTCGAAAGGCTCCTTGAAAGTTCACAAATTTCAATAAATGAGAGGTCTTGCAAGATATTTTTAAAAGATGCTTCATCTTGTGTTGCTCCTCAGAATTCTGAATATCTTTGTAATTTAGATATTGTTAAGTCAGAAGCACAAAATGTTGCAGGAAATGCTATAATGAAGTCTGAAGAAATTAAAATGCTACCTATTCAGCAGAATGCAATGTCACCTTTGACAGTAAGGCATTTTGATTTTATCCACGAGGAGAACAATAACGACAAGAATTCTGATCAGGGTGGGCATGTAGATAGTGATTCCGTAAATGATCAAAAAGTACATGATAATAGTTGTGAAAGCGAGGCATTCAGAAAAGTTTTTGATAAAAAACAGAACAGAAATAACACACGAATGTTGAATGGAAAGTTGCGTCAACCCGTTCCTGATTTTGCCAAATACGTTGGAAATGTGGGGAGAAGTGCTAATTCATCACATGTTGGTTTGACAAATATTTCTGCTTTACATGAAAATATGGATGCTCAAGTCCAGCATGAAGAAAACAATACACCAGCTACTTCTATCTCTTTGAGGGATAATTTGCTGCTTAGCAATTGGCTCCCTTCTGAACTTGTTGGTGTTTATTCGAAGAAAGGCATTACAAAACTCTATCCTTGGCAGGTTTATTCTCTTTTTCTTTGTTAATTATTTACTTATTCTTCATAGGTAGGTAAATATTCAATATTATCAATCAATACAAAGTACTTAAAATTATTTACAAAACTAGCACTCTCTTTCATCCATGTTTCAAATTTTCTCTCAAATATTAAAATTGAACGTAAAACGACAACCAATATTTTTTATTTTATCGAATTCACAATGATTTGATCATGACATGAGTAAATGCATTGGTTTGATAGTTCAAAAAAATCAACTAGGTGCTGGTTTTTGTAAATAGCAACTTTTCGAGTGCTATGTATGTAGTTATCCATGTTTTTAAATGACAGGTTCGGTGTGTGAGGGAAAAATGCTTTGAAAATTCCAACTTGAATGTTCATCCTTTTTTTTTTATTTATGAGCTAGAAACATATTTATGAAGCAACATATTCTACTTTTTGATAATAGTGATTTTATTTCATAGAATAGAACCGTAACACCACAATTGTTCCAAACAAATTTTTAATTACTGCGATGAATTAATTGTCAAATATACATAATTTACTTCTCTCTTTAATCATGAAAAGATGGAGAGATTATTTGTATTGAGTGGAGGTTTTACTAGTCAAATCACCCATTTCTTTGTGGTTTAAATTATTATTGATGACTTATATTTTGAAATTACTAGACATTGTTTTTTGTACACCTGTTTGTTTAAGTGCAGGATCTTGTTTTTTCTACGATGATGCAATATCTATTTTTTACACTCCATAGGCATTGTGTTCATGTTAAAAGGGAAAAAGCTTCAAAGATACTTTTTTTTTTGGAAAAAATAGGGATTTTTATTCACCTTGAAAGTTTTAGTTTTGTCCGAAGGGCTTAATTTTTTTATTGGGTTTGATTTATCCTGTCAATAATTTGATTTAAGGGGTATTTACATACACACCACAAAAGTCTTATGTATTTACATCTCTACCACCTGAACATTCATATCTACATGCATACCACTCAAATTCTTATCATCGCATAAAAAATACCACCTTTCTTAAATCGTTAAAAGTGAGATACACATTTTCATGCATATATGTATGATACCGAAGTGTTAAAAGTGTAAATGTCAAACTTTAGGTGTTAGATTCATAAATACATAAGAATTGTATGGTGCTTATGTAAATATCCCTTGATTTAATTTTAGCTTAGCTTAGTGGCCATGTATTATAAGTTTGGTATTAAGCTGCCCAAAAACTATTGGGCATTTGACATCAAAATTTCATTTTTCTAATCCATACAAAAAATAATTGGATCTTCTATTTTTTTTTAATTCTGTAGCTATTTTTTTGTTAGGTTTAGTTGTCTGTGTTTTTGTTAGTTTTCCAACTTCTGTTCACTGTTTGTTAATTTTTTTGCTTTTTTAGTTGAAAAAACATGCATATAAGCTATGTTGTTTGATAGATCTATTGAACAAATCTGATGGTCATTCTTGTTAAATATCGCAGGCTGATTGTCTTCGTGTAGATGGTGTTCTGGAGAGAAGAAATCTTGTGTATTGTGCATCTACGAGGTTTTGTACTTGCATTAAACTCAAGCTTGCCCAAATTCAACAAATTATGTTTCTAGATTTCGACCTTCTCTTTTGGTTGATGGACCTTTTGGCTGAATTTACTGTAGTCTAGACACTTGTAGTAATTTAATTAATTGTAAAATCTTGTAATGCAAATATATCCTATTGTCAGCAAAATAGCTTGATCATAATATTTCAGACATGCGACTTATTTTGTTATAATATTATGTGGCATATTCGTAAATCATTTTAGTTACACTTAACAAACTTGGAATATCATTATGAGCTTGTATACTACTAAATTTTTTTTTTCCTTAGCAATGATAGGTTGCAGGAACTTATTTTATTCCTTACGAAGGATAAAAAATATAGAGATTATCATGATTCACGTTACTACAAATGGCTGTATTGGTATGATTTATCTGCCGGCTTTTAACCAGCAAAACTCCGATTTTAATAAACTAGAAAAGGTATTAATTTCAAAAAGAATTTAACTGTTTTTTTCCCATGGTTTGGGTTGATAATTTAAGCTAGCAAGCACACTCAATGCCAAAGAAAAAAAAAAGAAAAAGAAAAAAAAGAAAACTGCATTTCATATAATATACTAAAATAATAGAAAACGAGCTAGAATTGTTTTCTGGTCATTTAATATTTAACATTGTTGAAGTAATGATTTAAATGAGAGGAGGACAGTATTTGTGTTTATTAAGAAAAAATTTCTCTTTTTTTGTTATTGATGTGAACATTAATCATTGAAGAAACTGGTGATGGCTAAATTTGATACATCATTGGTTAATTCCCTTAAACACAGGCAATTCTACATCATTTTATAAAGTATTTCAAAACTTTTTTGAGTTTTTAATTTTATCGTTAGCATTATCTATATAATCATTTCATAGTAATTTACTTCTTTATACAACTTTGATTAACCCTAAATCAGTTTTGGCTGAGCCCCTATCAATTTGGAAAATTTTCTGCATCATTTACAAGTATTTGCTACTTTTCAGCGCTGGCAAAAGTTTTGTTGCTGAAATTTTGATGCTAAGGAGAGTTATAGCAACAGGAAAAATGGCGCTTCTTGTTCTTCCCTATGTATCAATTTGTGCTGAAAAGGTGCTTTTATTGCCTGTATTGTTGTCAGTGACAATTTTTAATAGGGCCATTACATACATATCACCCAATTCTTATGTATTTACATATCTATCACCTAAACTTCATTTTATCTATCGATACCATCCAAATCTATCATATCATATAAAAATACCACTATTTTAAAAACTAAATACACCTTTTCATGTATAGGTAAGGTGGTCTACATGAACAAATTAAAATTTAGTTATTAGATATATAAATGCATAGGAATTGAGTCGTATTTATGTAACTATCCCTTTTTAATATCATTAATTTATTTACACTTTTATTTCTTTAAGGCGGAACATTTGGAACTACTACTAGAGCCTCTTGGCAAGCATGTTCGTAGCTTCTATGGTAACCAAGGCGGTGGCTCGCTTCCTAAAGATACATCAGTAGCTGTTTGTACAATTGAGAAAGCCAATTCGTTGATTAATAGGTTGCTAGAAGAAGGACGTCTTTCTGAAGTTGGAATTATTGTGATTGATGAACTTCATATGGTGAGTTGTCTATTTGGTTTTTAAAATGTCTTTCTTAATTCATATATATATAGATCAAGGCTGTCTTTTTTAACATCACGGGTTTTTTTTCAAAAATTAAGCGACTATTTATAGAATCAGCCCAGTAACTAAAGGTACAAACTACCACTAAATTTTTAATTAATGCATAATTGCCATGAAAAAAAGGTGTAGTATTCAAACAAGCTATTTTTTACATAAAATTTTAAAATAAAATTTGTTTTTAATGTGCCTATATTGTTTTGAAGAATATAACAGTTTTTGCCTTGCTTGGTGACCATTGTTTTAAAGGAAAATAATTGGAGTTTCCTGAATTTTAATTGAATTTTTATCTTGTTTTCTCATTTAACTTCAAGGGTAAATTGAATGTTAGTTATGGCTTTTACTGATCTCTTCTAACCGGCACCTTTTATTATTTCCGTCAAGCTTAGGGGTGACATGTTTCAAAAGCTATACTGTAGAATTTGTGCAAAATAATTGGTGCAAAAATGAATTCATGACTTTGTTTCCGCTATGTTATATAGTTTTATTTGGAAAGATTTTCATTTTGATTAACGATTTTTTTTTTTATGTGGCAAGATTTTTTCACTACTGTCTATATTTTCTACTTTATTCTTTTATGTTTACGTTTAGCACATTATGTTTCTTCTTTTATTGACGCTCTACCTTTTTTGAGGCACTTAAATTTTCAGATTAGTGATTTTAGGTTGGTGACCAACATAGAGGATATCTTCTGGAGCTAATGCTGACTAAGCTGCGTTATGCTGCTGGAGAAGGGATCTCAGAATCTTGTAGTGAAGAGGGTTCAACAAACAGTAGTGGAAAAACAGATGTTGCATGTGGTCTGCAGATTGTTGGAATGAGTGCCACCATGCCTAATCTTTCAGCCGTGGCTGATTGGCTTCAAGTGAGAATTTACACTTTTCTCTGTTTAATTTTGAAAATTATGACGGGGGTACCTTTGGAGGAAGTAAATGTAATTTATTTTTACATTTTTTCCTATGGAGTATGGAAATTAAAAGGCAGAGCTGGATTACCTATAGTGGTAATGTAAATGGAACTTTCATGTTTATTTCCTTTTGTTCATATATGTGTTTCTTTAATCATTTGCTTTAGACCTGATTCATATTTTGCTATTTCAGTTAATATTTTTACTTAGTTCTTTCGGTCATTTCTGTTTTTTAATGAGCATGGATATTATAAATTCACACCCAAGTATCTATCTATTTACTGTTAGGAGATGAAAGTGCGCATAAAGGAGTTGCAATTTGATAAATTAAAATTAAGTATTACTGTGCTGCCATGTTCCCGCTAATTGCACAGTTGTTTAGCCAATTTTTTTTTTTTCCTAAAAGAATTATTGTTGAACTTGCAGGCAGCACTGTATCAGACTAATTTTAGACCAGTCCCACTAGAGGAATTCATTAAAGTAGGAAATACCATTTATGATAAAAAGATGGATGTTATTCGTGTTTTACCAAAACCTGCTGACCTTGGCGGAAAAGACCCAGATCATATTGTGGAACTTTGCAATGAGGTTAGTATATTTTATTTGTCCTGTCAATACTATTTTTAGTTATCAATATTTGTTTTTTTTAAGCATTCAAAGAAGTTTTATTTATGTACTATGTACTTTTTCAAAATAACCTTTTACACAGGTTGTTCAAGAGGGTCACTCAGTGTTATTATTTTGCTCCAGCCGGAAAGGTTGCGAAATAACTGCAAGGCATATCTCCAAGTTCTTAAAAGGGTATTCTATTTCCATGCGTGGTGTTGACTGTGAATACAAAGATTATTCCTCAGCTATTGAAGCCTTGAGAAGATGTCCTTCTGGCTTGGACCCCATTTTTGAAGAAACTTTACCTTCTGGTGTAGCGTATCATCATGCTGGCCTTACGGTATATTTTTTCATTCATTATTTTTTATCCTTCTTGCATATCTGCAAGTCTGGATCACTCTATTTCTTTACATACCTGTACAACATCCACTTTCTTGGTCTAAGTCACGCCTTCTTTCAAACATTCCTGCAACCTTCATCCTTTGATCTCTTTGTTCTCTATTTTCTCCATATCACCTCATCTCATTTGCTTATTGTTCTACTTGTATGGGTCTCAAAATAATATTGCAAATCCATCCCGCATAATGAAAATCGCTACCAAACTAGAAACTTTGTCCTTGAATGAATGAAAGAGCTGGTACCGAGATGGGTTGAACGATTTTGGAGAAGTCTTTGACTCCAATATGAACAGCTTTCTCCTCTCCAAATTTGGGGAATCCACCCACATAAGGGAAATCATTCCCCAATTTTCAGGATAAAATCTGAAACTAAACTCAAAATTGCTTTATAAAAACTCCAAAAATGCCTCCCCTTCTAACATAACAATCTGGTGCTTATAAGCTTCCAACAAAAGTCCTAAACTTCTAATTACGACACTACCCTTAGGAAGGAAGACTAAAAAGGTAAATTAATTTTAAAAAAACACTGTATACCCTTCTCTAAGAAACACGTCAAGTTTTCCCTCGTGAAAAAAACTCTCAATCTGCAGTTCATAGGTTTAGGAAATTATAATTCCTAAGAAGATACTAGACAATGCATATTTAATTATCATTGGTACTTACCTCAGCTTTTTTATTTTTCCTACTCTACCTAGCTTATACTACTCCATATCTGTATTTTAATTCCTATGCAATTAAAAGCTTAATTATGCTGAAATCCCAGTAGTTTTTCTTCCATACTTTTTGCTTATAAACTATTTACTTCTAATGATTCATAGGTTGAGGAAAGGGAGATAATAGAAATGTGTTATCGCAAAGGAATTGTGCGTGTTTTGACTGCTACATCAACATTAGCCGCTGGTGTTAATCTACCTGCCAGGCGGGTTATATTCAGGCAGCCACGGATTGGCCGTGATTTCATCGATGGAACTCGATATAGACAAATGGCTGGCCGTGCTGGTCGAACTGGAATAGATGCTCGAGGAGAAAGTGTATGATTTCCTGTTGTTTGTAATTTTTTTCGTGTTTCATATCAATTCAACATTAACATGCTATCACATTTTTTTTGGGGCATCTACATCATACCGCCCAATTCTTATGTATTTACATATCTAACATATAAACTTTACAGTTTACATTTATAACACCCTAATCTGTCACATCACACAAAAAATACAACCATTTAAACTTTTTTAAAAGTGTGATATACCTTTTCATGCATATGTAAGATGTCATATAAATAAAGTAAGAATTGATTGATATGTACGTAAATCTTTCTTATTTTTGTTCATTATACTTATCTTACTTTATACTATTTTTTTTTCTTTTTATCATTATATGGGGTCATATTCTCGAGTTATAATGAATGATTTTTCAGATACTTATTTGCAAGTCTGATGAGATGAAAAAAGTTATAGCCATTCTCAATGATAGTTGTCCCCCTTTGCAATCGTGTCTTTCTGAAGAGAAAAATGGCATGACTCATGCAATTATGGAGGTGGTTGCAGGGGGCATTGTGCAATCAGCACATGACATTCATCGTTATGTCAGATGTACCCTTCTGAATTCCACTAAACCCTTTGAAGATGTTGTGGCATCAGCTCAAGATTCTCTTCGATGGTTATGCCGTAAGAAATTTCTCGAATGGAACGAAGAAACTGGGTTGTATAGTTCAACACCTCTTGGCCGTGCTTCATTTGGCAGTTCTCTTAGTCCCGAGGAATCATTGGTCTGAAGCTTTATATTTGTACTTTTTGCCTGTTGTGAATTATCTCTTTTTTTCTTATATACTCTATTGATCTTTGCTTTGAATCTCATGTTTGTAGGTTGTTCTGAATGATCTTTCGAGAGCAAGAGAAGGATTTGTGCTTGCATCTGATTTACACTTGGTTTATCTGGTGACACCCATCAATGTTGAGGTGGAGCCTGATTGGGAGCTGTACTACCAAAGGTTTATGGAATTGCCTCCCTTGGACCAGGTTTTTTACTTTACTTAATCATTCTTGACCATTTTATGAATTTCTGTAGTTTCTGTGAAATGTTAATTGCTTCTCACTGCAGTCACAAGGATGGAAAGGGTTTCAGTCAAATTCTTTTTTTTAGAAGAAGATAAAAGTGCCAAAATGTATCACTGACGTTTTTTAGTGGGCCATTTTAATCCCAAAATCTATAGAAGTTCTTAGATTTATAACGACCATCAAATCCTAATCAAATCCCTAGTCGTTAATACTTATTAAATTCACTTATTTTATATTTCCTTTTTGCTTTATTCCGTTTTATTCTTTTCCTATTTATTGTATTTTGCTTTACTTCTTTCCTTTGTTGTGTCTACTATAATTGGGTTTAAATCTCTGTTATAGCAATAAAGGTGTGCTGTTCTATTCCAATTTTTAACATGATAGTAGAGCCTAACCCTAGATCCAGGCCGCCGCAGACCACGCAAAGACTCCTAGCCGCCGGTCTCCATTGGTGATTCTTTGTAGTCATCTGTCACTTCTGAAATCTACAGGAGCAGCTGTTGTTCCCTTTGCCTCCCGTTTGCAAGACTCCCGTCCGTTCCCTCTGCGTCCTGTCTGCAAGAGCAAATCGCTGGTTCCTTTTCCTTCAGTTTGCAATAGAAAACCGCTGGTTCCCTATTCTTTCTGCCTTCCGTCTGCAGGAACAAGCCTCTGCCTTCTGCAAGACCGAACCACTGGATACCTGAAGGTGCTCCTTACTGCTTGTCCGAAACCTTTTTCCATCGGCGACAAAATTCTCCGGAGGCTGTCCAACGTCTCTGCAGGTGTCTGGATTCTTGCAGTTGTGCTTGTCTACCACTGATCCTGCTGGAATTCGTCGATGGCTTAGAATTACAACCACATTTCTTTGGCTTTGTAGGAAGTGTGACAGGTTCTTCCAACACTGGCCACCTTCAGAATGCGTTCTTGATTCCAATTGAGGATCGACTCCAACCTCCACTCCTTTGCATACCACAGGACTAGAAACCAACACAAATTTCTTGATCACAACTCATAAGTTGAACGAAAACAACTTATTTCAATGGTCCCAAGAAGTCTGCTTGTTCATGAAAGGGTGTGGGAAGTTCGATCACCGTACATGTATGATTCGTAAGGCTCTAAAGGCTGACCCGATATATGGAGCTTGAGAGGCGGAGAACTTCATAGTCATGTCATGGCTGATAAACTCCATGGAAACTCCAATTGGTCATTCATGCTTGTTTCTTCCTTCAGCTAGTGCTCTTTAGACGACTGTCCGCGATACCTACTCGAATGCAAGAAATTCTGGCCAACTCTATGAGGTATCTAAAAGGATCCGGGAGGCAAAACAGGGGACAACGACTATAATGACCTCGTTCCATTATGGATGGAATGCAACCTGTACTACGACTACACTTGGGATTCACCCGCCGATTTATCCCTCTTCCAAAAGATTATAGAAAAAGATCGTATGTTCTAATTCCTTGTTGGCCTTAACAAAGACCTTGACGAGATTTAGAGTTGTATTCTTGGTCGGGATCCTCTTCTTTCCACTTACGCTGCTTTCACCGAGATTCGTCGGAAAGGGAGCAGAAGACTTGTCATGCTCGACTCTTCTACACCTTCAGCCGAGTCATCTGCCCTGATCTCAAATAATGCTAAGCCCTCGTTCATGTTGCCATTGCGAACCGGTCATCCCACTTGTGAGTACTATTATAAACCCACTCACACTTGGGACAAGTGTTGGAAACGTCACGGTAAACCGACATATAAACATTCAGCCAAGTCCTCCGCTGCCAATGGACTCACGACGATGACTGAACAAGGCACGACTCTACCGACTTCTACCCAGAACATTCCACAATCGTCCGAATTACTGAAAAACCAGATGAAGCAATTTATGAAGCTTGTTGGAGTTAGTCAAGTTTCTTCAGGTCATTGACCTCCTATGTCCGACAAGGTACTCTTTCTATAGCTCTCATATTTATTCATCATCTAGTCCGTGGATTATTGATTCAGGAGCCACAAATCACTTTGGATGTTCGCAATCTTTCTTAAGTTACTATCATTGATTTTGGAAAATATTCAATCAGAATTTCCGATGGTTCTTATAGTTTCATTGTTGGTAAATGGTCGATTTAATTAATAACCAATCTAACTTTGGAGTTTGTTTTACATGTTCCTTAGTTGCAACATAACTTTTCTGTCAGCAAGTTGATGAATGGTGTTGATTGCGTTGCTAATTTTTCTTCTGTTGATTATGTTTTTCAGGATCGTCGTACGGGGAGGATGATTGGATCTGCTAAGAGGGTGGCTAGATTCTACTATTTGAGAAGAGCACAAAAAATATTGACACACCTCTCAGGAGTTGTAGCTAATATTGAGTCATTGAATGCCCCATTATGTTACTGCATTGTCATTTAGATCATCCTTATTTTCAATATTCAAATGAGTCGCATCTTTTGATGTTTTCTAATAATAAACCTTCCAATTTTAAGATATGTTAGTTAGTCAGACATTATCTGGCCCATTACTCATCTCACACAACACTCATTTCGCTCCTTTCTTTCTCATTCATAGTGACCTATGGGGACCTTCTCGCTGCCTCGCACTCCCACATACACCAATAAAAGGTGGTACACGACTTTCATTGATGACTACACTTGAATGACGTGGGTTTATATTCTTAAAAACAAATTGGAAGTTGCTGTTATCTTCTAAACTTTCTATACCTTTTTTTTACTCAATTCAAAACTTCTATTTAGGCCCTTTTGACCGATAATGATCGTGAATTCTTCAACTCTATTTTGGGTGAATTTTTGGTGAGTAAGGCTATCCTCCATCATAGCTCATGTACGAATACTCCTTAACAAAATGTGGTAGTCGAGAGGAAAAATTGTCGTCTCCTCGACGTTGCTCGCTCCATTATGTTTCAATTTAATGTCCTAAAACGTTTTTGGAAAGTTGCTATTCTCTTTGCCAACTATCTCATAAATAGAGTTTCCTCTAAAATTCACACGTTTTGCCGCTCTTAGCTTTCCTAATGTCATGCTTCTCTGCCAATCAGATCTTTTCCACATTAGACCCCAAGATTTTTGGGTGCAAGGTCTTTGTTCGGAACACTGTCTACAATTGGAGTAAACTTGATCCCAGATCCATAAAATTTTTCTTCCTCGGGTACTCCACTCAAATGGGGTATTGACGCTTTGATCCTACCACTAACAAAATCTATGTGAATGTTGATGCCTCATTCTTTGAAAGTGTTACCTATTTCTTTGCTCGGCCACAAGTGATGGGAGCTTGGGTTCTTAGACATTATCCCTTATCCTACTTCTATGGTTGTTCCCCCCATTGTTCTCGCTACTGAAAAGTCCCATGCTCGATGAGTGCACCATCCGGTGAGTTCCAGAATCCAGTTAATGCATCATCTTTTTCTCCCACTTTCCGTGTTGCACTCAGTGCACCCGTTTCAATGCTCCCACTCCTTACAGGACCTTGACTCCACTCCGAGCGAATGTTAGTTCTTTGAATAATGTATGCAATCAAATATGCTCCCTTTATTCTATGGCAAAATATGTCTATTTCCGTAGTTTATTACCGATGTACAGAGCATTTGCCATTAACCAGATGGACCATCAGATCCTCGGTACTATTGAAGTTGCTCTTATTGATCCTGCTTGGAAAACGATAGTAATGGAGGAGATAATATGCTTCAACGGAATCATACATGAGACGTCGTTGATCTTTCTTAGGGTAAAAAAGCTGTGGGATGCCGATGGATTTTCAACGCCAAGTTTAACTCTGATGGATCCTTTGAATGCAACAATGCACGTTTGGTTGCCAAATGATACTCATAGATCTCCGGAGTTGACTATGAGGAGACATTTGCTCTAGTGGCTAAATTAAACACTATTCGGGTCCTGTTGTTCTTTGCAGGGAATCTGGCTTGGCCTTTATTCTAGTTAGATATCAAGAATACATCTTTGAATTAAGAGCTTACGGAAGAGGTTTACATGTCTCTTCCTCCTGGCATTGACTCTACTGCCTCCTTAGGGTAAGTGTGCAGGCTACGAAAGTCTCTGTATGGGCTAAATCAGACCCGGAGGGTCTGGTCCTGTAAGTTCACAAAAGTGGTTGTGGGCCTTTGTTTTACTCATGCTCAATCATATCACACTATATTTTTTCGACATTTATCCAATGATCAGGTAACTATTCTTATTTTCTATGTTGACGATATTATTTTTACAGGTAATGTTCTCTCAGCACTGGACTTCTTGAATGAATTCTTGCTAAATCCTTTTAAATGAAGGACTTGAGATCTCTCTGTACTTCTTAGGCATGAAAGTGACTCGATCATCTCGAGACATTTGCCTATCTCAGCACGAATATGCGATTTACCTCTTGAATGAGAACAACCTTTTTTTGTGCAAACCAGTGGCTGTCTCCATGAATCCCAATGAAAAATTATCCGACATTCCTAATACTATGCCTGTCAACAAGACTCACTACTGGCTTCTTGGGGGGAAACTCATCTACATCACCATACTCGCCCCAACATATGTCACGTAGTTGGCATAGTGAGTCAATTCATGCATAAGCCCTATGAGCATCGTGTCCAAGCTGTCCACCAGATTCTCCACTATTTAAAAGATACACCGAGCTCAATTTTTTTTTTCTCTTATCACTCCTCTCAGCTTATTGCTGTTTATACATATGTCGATTGGTCCGGGTTTGTTCATGGCCGAGGTTTCACCTCAGGGTATTGCTCATTTGTATGGGGAAATTTGGTCACATGGAAAAATAAAAAACAGTGTGACTGCTCGGAGCAGTACTGAAGTTGAATTACGGTCCATGGCTTTGGGGATCTGTGAAGACCTTTGATTACGCATCATGCTCCGCAAACTTCGTATGCTAACCTTCGCTCCACGCAACTATTATGTGATAATATGGTCGTCATCAACATTGCTCACAATCCAATCTACCATGATTGTACCAAACATGTGGAAATTGACACACTTTATTTTAAAAAAAAAGATTGAGTCCGGTGAAATTTGTGTCTTTTGTACCCTATAGTGGTCAACTAGCAGATATACTCACCGATAATCTTCCTCAACCTTTGTTTGATGATTCCAAATTCAAGTTGAACATGATTAACATCTTTGCTTCAACTTGAAGGAGAGTATTAGATTTATAACGACAATCTAATCCTAATAAAATCCCTAGTTGTTAATATTTACTATTTCTTGCCTACTAGTTATAATTCCCTCATTATGTATTTCTTTTTTTCTTTATTCTGTATTATTCTTTTTCTATTTATTATATTATGCCTTATTTCTTTCATTTATTGTGCCTACTGTAATTAGATTTAAATATCCCCTCTTCAATCAATAAAGGCGTGGCTTATTCCAATTTTCAACAAGAATGGTAGTTTGGTCCGCATATTCTTTTAATTAGGGCTAAATTAGTCTTTCCTATGGTTTATTTCAGCCCATATTAAAAGAGCTTGGGAATTCATTTGATAATTATAGACTTTTGGGACTAAAGTGACCCAATATAAATAGATTGGAGATTTTTTTTGACACTTCACTCTTTTAAAAAACATATCAATTCTTTCAAGATTCTGTTTTGCGGCTCTGTTGAATTTCAATGCTTTTCAAGGATGTATTTTGAATGCTACTCAAAACTGATGAAGAGGAATCCAAAACATGAATGAACTAGTTTATTACTTTATTTTAAGAAAACTAATCATAAGTTGTACTATATAGTAGCTTGAGTTTTTTTGTAGTTTGGGTAAACTCCCTCATGCCTATAGACTTGTATTTCGATAGGGCTTATGGTGGGACCGTATATAGGAATATGTCATAGCTATAGCATTTTTAATCCTGAATTTATCTTCCCCTCTTATTTGTTTCTTGTTTGTCTTCTTTTCTAATATTGTAGCCTCAGTGAAGTTCATCGTTGATAAACCTCTTTATTTATTTTTAGGACAACATTGTAGGAAGGCATTTCTTAACTCCCCACATAATTTTTTATTTGTGTCAAACTGTCCATTAACACTTTTTAGGGGGATATTCTAGTCTCCACTCTCATCTAAGGAAGCTAAGATAATCCTCTTTGGGACTATTTTAACTCATGCTAAAAGAGTATAGGGGACTAATTTGGTATTTTTATAGATTTTGGGACTAAAGTGACTTTATGTAAATAGTTGGTAATATTTTGACACTTAGTTTTTCTTTTGAAGAAAGGACAGATCTTCATGATTGTGTTAACAATGAAACCACAATTCAACGAAGTGAAGGTCTTATGGTTCTTCCACTAAAAATCTTTCGTATTAGGTCAATTGTTGTGCTTGTCAGTGATGGAAGCTTTTTTTATATGATGTGCGAGTATGCTTTGTTCTATGATTTCTGTTCCATAATAGGTCATCATCTGTAATTTTTTTAGGAATTACGTGGTATGTATGTAAATTTCCCTTTATTTTGTTGCCATATAAATCTGGTTCATTCTGCAAACATTTGGAATGAGATGCCATTCTGTTTGTTGAAGCCGGCTCAATTTTCTGCTATTCGTGAGAAATCACATTTTATTAAAAAATGGATCATAGTCGTCACTATTTTTGCTCTCGCATTAATATTTCATTCCCTATGGTTTGCTTAAAGATTTCTTTTTGATCTTGGAAATGCATGATGCTTCTCATTACTTCTATTCTGCTGTCTTTCTTTGTGAGATATTTAGACATTCTGATTTAGTTCTTAATTGAAGTCTGTTGGCAATCGAGTGGGAGTGGCGGAGCCTTTCTTGATGCGCATGGCACATGGTGCTCCAATGCCCGTTCAAGACCAATTAAAAGAAATAAAAAGGAGTCCGAATGGCAAGTTGAATAGAAGGAGTGCGATGAAGCACAATGACCTTCTTTCAAATGAACAATCTCTTCGAATCGCTCGACGCTTCTTTGTGGCACTTATGCTCTCAAGACTTGTACAGGTTAATTTTTATCTTATGTTTGAAATTCTAGATTTATTAAAGTTAAGGTTTTTTCTGTAATAATTTATCTTGTATTTCCTCTATTGCTGCTTAGACAAAGATATTTGTGACCATAAGTTTGATTTGCGGTGCTCATTCAAGATGCTGAATTGTTTGCTTTGGTGGTATTTTCATGGATTCCATTAATTGAGTTTGTTTTGAAGTTAGACATTGTTATTTCTTTTATGGTTTTTGATTTTTAGCTAATTGTTGATAATATTAAATTAGATGGCATTTAATGTTAATGATAAGGCTATGAACCTTTCTGCAAAAAAATATTTTCAGTTATTGACGTAATAGGGGATTGTTTGTGAAATTAGGCTAAGAAAGGAAGGCTGGCTAGCTCTTTTCTTTAACTATATACATCAGAGGCTCTTTTTTGAAATCATTGTTGGTGTGAGTGTATCTGCAAAGAATTTGAGCCGTGTCGAATTGTCTATATAAGAGTGCCTTTAGCTCTGGGATATTGTGACATTTTCAGGAATCTTTACTTCAGCTTGTTCTCTATTTACAGCATCATAGTGCATTTTATGTTTGTTTGTTTTTTTTTAAATCATTTGTTAATAAGGTTATCAATCTGTTTGACAGCTGCCGTTTTATCTATGTTGGCTTTTTGCGTCTTAATAATTTAAAATTTTTGTATTTTGGTGTACCATAAGACATCTTTTGTTCTGGAAAATGTTTATTTTTGAATAATTATTCTTCCAGGAAGTCGCTGTTTCTGATGTTTGTGAAGCATTCAAAGTTGCCAGAGGAATGATTCAGGCCTTACAAGAAAATGCTGGAAGATTTGCTTCAATGGTTTCCTTATTTTGTGAGAGATTAGGTTGGCATGATTTGGAAGGTCTTGTTGCCAAATTCCAAAACCGGGTCTCATTTGGGGTGAGAGCAGAAATTGTTGAGCTTACTACCATTCCATTTGTGAAGGTAAGTTGATCTCCACTTTATCAAATTTCTGAAATTATGAGGGAATTTCTGAAAATATGCTAGTTTCACTTGCCACATTTCCTGGTATATCCAGGGGTCACGGGCGAGGGCGCTTTATAAAGCTGGTTTGCGCACTCCTCTTTCAATTGCAGAAGCATCCGTCTCTGATATTGCTAATGCTCTATTTGAATCTTCTTCCTGGTCCGGACAAGGTGATTTTTCATGCTTTTTTGATAAAAATAGTTAATTATCATTTTTTGTTACCTTTGACACGGCAGCTTTGCTAATTAATACAAGGTCATTATTTTTATTTATTGTATTATGATTTGTTAACTGCTTATGTTAGCCTTAAATTTAAGTGCAAAGTGTTAAAATAATCCTTTGATTTTTTATATGGGGTCACTATAGTCTTAGAGTCTATAAAAGTGCCAAATTAATTCCCAAAATTTTTAAATTGGGGTTAAAATAGTCCTCTGTGAGGACTATTTCAGCTCATATTGAAAGATTATGTGGATTAAATTGGCATTTTTATAGACTTTGAGACTAAAATGACCCCCTAAAACGAGCAAGGGGACTATTTTGACAAATTTCCCTTCCTTTAAATACACGTCACTAAAATCTAAGAGCTGGAGATTTTCCCGATGATATTTTAGTTTATTTTGGAAAAACCTGCCATCTACCAAATTTAATCTGCTCACATATATTTTATGAATTCGTATAACTGTGCAATCTTAAAAAAAGTATATGTCAAGGATGTTTATACTAACGTTCAACATACCTTTGAAACTAAGATAATGACCAATATTCATTGTGCTCTTTGTTTAGTTAGGTTGTTTTGTGAGAAGAGTAACCTTTGAGTAATGTGGTGGTTGGCACATTTATCAGGAGATAATTAATTAGCAATCGATATGAAGTAATTGCGTCAGATTATATTAGAGATGGGGTGAATATTTTGGCTCTTTCTTGGTTTGATTTATTGGTCCTTTTTTGCTTTGGTGAATTGGAGAAATTTGGCTTTAAATATGTCACCTAGGAGGTTGGAGGATCATGCCATCTACCAAATTTAATCTGACTCGCATATATTTTATGAATTCGTATAACTGTGCAATCTTAAAAAAAGTATATGTCAAGGATGTTTATACTAACGTTCAACATACCTTTGAAACTAAGATAATGACCAATATTCATTGTGCTCTTTGTTTAGTTAGGTTGTTTTGTGAGAAGAGTAACCTTTGAGTAACATGGTGGTAGGCACATTTATCAGGAGATAATTAATTAGCAATCGATATGAATTAATTGCATCAGATTATATTAGAGATGGGGTGAATATTTTGGCTCTTTTCTTGGTTTGATTTATTGGTCCTTTTTTGCTTTGATGAATTGGAGAAATTTGGCTTTAAATATGTTACCTTGGAGTTTGGAGGAAACACAAACTTTTTTTTTTTAATCAATGAAATACTATATTTTTTTTACTTGGATAAGGATCATTTTTTGTTTTGCGGGGTGTTTAAGGGGAAGTTAATGCTGCATTTTGAGTACCCTGTAATTTTGTTGATTGAAACTTGGATAATATAAAGTAGACTATCATCGTTTCAAAATGTGGCTTTGAAATTATTATGAGAATACATCCTGATAGGAGGAAATACTACTCAACTTACTCAGCAGAATTTGGTGAAAATTCTATAACTTATGAAATAATGAATAATCAACTATCATTTTTGTATGGGGTTGGGTTTGAAAGTGCGTCACTCTGCTCCCTTTGGTGTAAAGAGAACACTTTCATTCTCTATTTTTGATTTTAAAGAAGGGCAAAGTGGAATTTTAGATTCATATTGGAATAATCGAAGAGATTTTTACCAAATAACTGACAAGTGACAAATTAGCTAGGATTTATTTTAATCCCATGACATTTAGATATTTAATAAGCACAAGCCTCTATGGTTCACTATTTTCCTCTCATGATGCAAAAAACACTCGATTAAGGATGTAAACAGAGCCCTAAGGCTGGGAGATTATTTACAAATGGGGATGGATGTTCAATTTGATCATAATCTTATGTTTCCATAGTCTCAAGTTATCTTGTTGGATCCACTGTGCTATCAGAGAATACGAAATCATATCATTTAGCTTGTCTAATTAGTAGCTGCGTTACCTCTCAAATAACTTAAAACTTAGTGGTTCAAAATGGATCAATTGGGCCTTGATGGATTTATATTGCTGGTCGATGAGTTAATTAAACTAGTTAACCTTGCATTGTTGGTTGAGTTGATTTAGTATTTGTAAGTCAACAAGAGATCACATAAATTAGGGAAATATGACCCAATTGAGGGTCATTCTTAGCTAACTGACGCACATGTGGGCAATGCCCAAGTTGGTCATGTGAGTTTTTCAAAGCAATTTTAAGTCATTTGGGTTTTTTGCACGGCTGTTGGACTCTGGTTCTTTGTGTCTGCAACTGAACAAGATAGACTGAAGCATAATATTATGGTTTCAACTCTTAAAACTTTTATATAAATATATACCTTCTCCTAATCAAAATTATAGCTATTCTAAGGTAAGCATTTGATAATCTTTTATTTATAGAACTCCTCCAAGAATTTTTACTTGTAGATCAACAACCTATAGTAGGAATTTATGCTTAAATATTTTTAACTCAATGATTTCATTTTATTTGTTGAAATATTTGAGGTTCCTATTTCAAAATAGTTTCCTCTCGGATTGGAATCAATGTTAATCTGGTAGAAAGACATGTTATAACAATACTTTGTCTTCTTTGTTAATAAGACATGGAATTTATCTATTCCTAGGAGGATTTGAAAAAAAGCAAACTAAGTTCTGATTAATATGCTACTTTCTGCATTTTATGGCATAGCAATTTGGTACACAGTTTTTGAACTCTTTGCTCTTCTCATCGGCTCAAGTTTGTAGATGAGTGAAAGCTTTTATGGCTCTAATGCATTCTGTTTAAGTTATTTTCTTCACTGTGATTTTCTACCTCTCTTTTGATAGTTATCTAGTTATTGATTAACATAGCTGTTAGGTTTTAATAGTTTTTTATAACATTCTTTCAGCTTTTCCAATGTTTGTGTACAAGTATGCTCATTTTAATATTTGTTATGGAGCCCTATGCTTGCTTGTCATTGTTGTGAATAAAATCATTTATGCTGATTATGCAGATGGTCTAGCTAAGAAAAGCATACATATGGGAGTTGCCAAAAAGATAAAAAATGCTTCACGGAAAATCGTCCTGGATAAGGCAGAAGAAGCAAGTGTTGCTGCCTTTTCTGCTTTCAAGTCTCTTGGAATCAATGTTCCTCAGATTCCTCGTCCTAGTCTTTCTAACAGTTCTGACAATTCTCCTCAACATGGTAGTGCCACTTGCAAGTCAGCTAGAACCGCCCTTTGAAATATCAGCTTCAGAGGACATAAAGGCTACCTCCAATGCTTCAGCAGATAAGAAAATTATGGTGTTGGATAACAGTTCTGAAGAAATTATAGTACAAAAGTTTGAAAAGGAAATAAATAGCACTAAGGGGACAGCAGGGACTTCAAATTTTCCAACTTCAGGACCTTCTAATGAAGTGATTATTGCCAAGCACGAGTCTGACAACAAAGAAAGAGCTATGGAACAAATTTTAACAATCCATAGTAGCATACGGAGTTTCAACAAAGGTCCCTGTTTTGCAAGCACATTTCCTGGTGGTTTTGTTTCCTTCTTAGAACAGATGGATCTGAGAAGGGAGTTCTATTTTGATCTTCATTACAGCAAGTTACCAGATCAAAATTCCTCGCTACGTTTTGAAGTTTTTGGTTTGGCTGTTTGTTGGGAAAACTCACCAGTATACTACATCAATTTTTTGAAGGATTTTCTACATTCCGGGAAGGAAAACAGTTCAAGCAATCCCATCTGGACTTTGGTTAAGAGTAGATGGGAAAAGTTGGGTAAGATATTGAGTAGAAATGTCGTTCATAAATTCACTTGGAACTTGAAAGCTCAGATCCAGGTATTAAAAGCTCCATGTATTTCACTTCAAAGATTCAGCAGATATGGGCTTGAACAAAAAATGTTGAATGACTCTGAGCTTATTGGTAGTTCATATATTTTGTTGCCGACTATCTCCGTGCATGATGGGATTGATTTATGTCTAATGGCGTGGAGCCTTTGGCCAGATGAGGAGAGCAAGTCCACTCCCAACCTTGAGAAGGTAGCTCAATGATATTGAATATGTAACATAATAATGGGTTCTATGGCCTTGATTGGTAGAAATCTTCAATAACCATGTCATGCATTAGCCTGCTAATTTTACTTATGTTTAAAAGGCCTTCTTGGCTAAAGGGAGCTTAAGCTTTGAAGTGTTCGAAAATTATTTTTGATAAAAGTATATTTGAAAATTTCTATTTGCGTATTGAAATTTAGAAGAAGATAATGAATTAGAAATTTCAGAAGGAAAGAGCATGTGATTTGAGCCCATTTTATGGAATACCTTTTTCGGAGTTATGATAGAACAATATTCGATGTCAAACAATGCATTGGTTAGACATGCTAAACGGCCTTACATTGATTTCAAGGCTCAAATAAAAGAATGAAAAAAAGTAAAAAAAAAAAAAAATGCATTGAAAACTAAGGGTCCGTTTGGGGGCAGCTTATTAACTGTGGTGTCGTTTTGAAAACGTCATCGCACTGTTTGAAAAATGCATTTGGGCAGCTTATTTGAAAACGTCGGTTGCCCTTTACGTTAAACTCGGGCCACGGGTTGAACCCCATAGCCCGCGTTTCATTAAGGATTTTGATGACATTGCCCTGCTTCTTCTCATATCGTCTGCGTTTCTTCACTCGATTCATTTCGTGCGGTGAAAGTCGACCATGGACACGGCGAAGGTGAAGGAGCTGAAGCTTTTCGTGGAGCAGTGCAAGAAGAAGCCTGGGATCCTCGACGACCCCTCTATTTCTTTCTTCAGAGATTACCTCGAAAGATTCATTATCTATCTCTTTCTTTTTTGGACGCGGCAAAGGTGCGGATGCTCTTTCTTTTTTTCGTGGAGCAGTGCAAGAAGAAGTCTGGAATCTACCATGTAGCCCTAAGTTTCTTCAGATCGTCGGCGACCCCTCTATTCATAATCATTTGATCTTCTTATAGATTCCTTCTTTGCATTCTTTGAATTCGCGCAATTTTTTTTTTAAATTTGTGCTTTTTTGTTTCGAAACCATTTTGTTTTTTCCCCCTTACTTGACATGCCTTGGATTGCTCGGTTGAAATGGAATGAAGCAACTTAGGGCTACATGGTAGATTCTCTTTTTTTCTTTCTCGACTGGCTGTAGATATTGTTTCATCAGTCATCATATTTTTATTTAGTATATGTAAGTAGAAATAGATTGTTATGCTGTTAAAATTCTTTCACGTTTTAATAATGTTACAGTTGTTTTATTTCCACAAGGGATTAACTTAATTTGATTGCACAGTCAGTCTATCTTTCGTTTTGTGTATTTCTGTATTGTTGAGTTTTTTTCGTTGAGACAATTATTGTGTGATTTGGGATGAATTACTAGTTTTGAATTACGCAACATTTCAAAGTATTTCTAATTGTTAAAGGATCTATGGAAATGCTACTCTATTTTGTTTGTTTATTAATAATTGGGAAATAAAGAGAAGTGAACATGGATTTTAGGGGAGACTTATCTTCTTCTATTAAGATATCTTTTCTATGTCTGAGTAGATAGGATGAAAGAGTAAAATATATTGCTATGACAGTTCAATTGCAAACAACATTACTGCATAGAGACAAACTGGTCATTTATCTAGAATCAGCTGCAAGTCAGCTATTTTCCAACAACATAAGCCAAACATTCAACCAGTTTATCCGGATCAGCTGTTGTTCAACGACTTATCTGGATCAGCTGTTTATCAACAAATTGGCAATAAGCTGCAGCTGCCCCAAACAGATGCTAATTTTCTTTTATTCAGTATTTACAAAGCCTGCTTAGTTAAGGGAGTGACATGGGGATTACTGATACTGGAGGAAACTTAAACCATGAAAAACACAATTATTAATTCTGAAATTCAAAAGTTACAACAAAGACTCGTCAAAACAAGAAATAAATGATCAATAAAAATAAATTACACTCTGGGGTGAGAACGAGAAGTGGTGGCACCAACAAAACAATATGTGCGGTAACTGGCGGGATACTTGCGACAGCAACAATGATAGATAAAGAGGAACTCACAGATACAACAGGGAAGGTCTCACGACTACAACAAGCCTGATGGGTGGTTGGGGTTAATACGGTTGGTAGAGTGTCACAAGAGGGGGAGGAAGAATTGCGGTTATACTGTATTCAACGACAGGGAACAAGCAACATCCAGTTGGGACTTACGATAGGGAAACAGGGGGGGACAGGCGGGCCGCAGAAGTGGCTGATCAAGGCTAACGAGGTTGGTTCTGGGAATACTATGATTGGGAGTGGTAAAGAGGTGCTGATTGCGGGGAAAAATTCCTGGTTGTTGGTGGCTGGAGCGTGGAGGGTAGGGGAAACCAAAGGTGGCAAGGAGGGTAGGTGAAGGTGGGGGCGAAATCGGAGAAGACAATCACCACTAGGGAGAGGGATACAGTTGGAGCACCACCCTAACGAGGACGTCGATGACTGTACTAACAAATTGAAATCAAAAAATAACATAAGCTGAACCCTAAGGCATAAAAACACAAATAAAAGAGGAATGGGTGAGAAATGAAAACAAGAAGGGGGGAAATTCCCGCTTAATGAAAAGAGTGGGGTGGAAGACCCTAGGAAGTGTCGTCGGCGGCTAGGAGGATGTCAGAGTGAATGTCTGTGCTAGAGGGGTTTCGGGAGAGGACTGCAGGTACTGCTGCTTGCTAGAAATCTGTCGGGAGGGAGTATGGTGGCTGGTGTGGCGTTGAGAAGCTTTGGAGGTGCTGCGGCTGATGGGTGAGGCACCGAAATGGAAGGCAGTGTTTGGAGAAAGGTTGAGGGGAACCTGGAGGTGCTGCAACATGTACTCGTCATCACCTCCTAATCACATCCTTGTTGATGCATGTGGTAGACTTTGAAGTTATAAAAGACATACGAGGCAAATGAAGACTTTTGGGAAATCTAGGTGCATTATAGGGAGAAACCTCGCGGGTAGTTCTACAAAACAGACTACTTGTTCCAACACAACAAATTATGCATTCCCCGATGGTTGCTACACGAAGCTATCATCCTGGAGAATCACAATAGCAGATTGGCCGACCATTTTGGCAGAGATAAAACTCTCACACTCGTAAGAGAATTTTTTTTTTAGCCCCGACTGGCACAAGACGTGGAACATGTCCGACAATATAAGATTTGTGATATTGCCAAAACTCGCGGCCAAAATATAGGATTGTACACACCTTTATGAGTCCCTAAAACGCCTTGGGTCAATATCATCATGGACTTTGTCATATGACTACCACACACACAAAGGAATAAAGACTTTGTCATGGTTGTAGTTGACTGTTTCTCAAAGATGGCGCATTTCGCCTCTTGCCATTGGATGTTAGATGCATCTCATCTTGCCGATTTGCACTTTCGCTAAATCTTTCAACTTCATGACATTCCCATGACTGTTACTTCTGATCAGGACGTTAAATTCTCAAGCCACTTTTTGCGGAACCTCTGGAGCTAATTAGTCACTAAACTCCAATATAGTTCTGCAACACATTCTTAGACGGATGGGCAAACCGAAGTCGTTAATAGAAGCCTTGGGATTCTTCTTTGATGGTTCATTGGGAAAAACGTCAAACAATGGGATCTCATTCTCATACAAGCCAATTTTGCCTACAATTGATAAAAAAGCCATATCACAGAACACACGCCATTTGAAATTGTGTATGATTGCAACCCGATCACACCCCTTGAGTTGGTTCCACTTCTTCCCCCTACAGATATCAACGAGGATGCTATAGAACTGATTCACTAGATTCAACAACTCCACGAGGAAGTTAGCAAGACAATTACGAAATAAAACCTCAAATATTAAACACAAGCAAAGAAATCCAGGAAAAATGTAACATTTCAAGAAGGTGACCTAGTAATTATTAAGGAAAGAACAATTTCCTGTGGGAGCTTACAACAAACTCAAGCATTTAAAAAACTAAACGACAACGCCTATAAAATTGTCCTGTCAGGAGACTCCAAAATTTCATCAATATTCAATTTCACGAACTTCACCCTATACTACGAAGAGCTGGAAGCTTCGTCAAATATTGATGAAGCTCTCCCAATCCCATGAATTGACTCGGGTTTGTTTACGCCCGCCGGTTTAAGCGGTGGAATGAGCTGGTCCATTCTTCTTACGGGCAGACATTCTACCTTGCCTTTTTTCTCCACCCCCCCCTCCCGCCCC